ACCATATGTTATTGCGTCTTAGACACTGACAGAAAACATGGAAAATGTAAGCCAAGAGTGTGAAACATTATCACCATTTCTGCACCACAGTCCATTATAAACCACATAATAGATAAAGTTTATACAAACACTGACAAGGAAAACATGTTTATTCTCTCTGTGATTATGGATCCTCGCCAAAACAGCCTGCCAGCAATAATTTCGTGCATGCGGCCAGATTATGGTGCTTTGATAGCGGCAAAAATATAAATAAATAAATACTATGATAGCATGCTGAAATAGATCTTAGTCATGACAGCAACAGTTACTCACATAATCACTTGCTCTTTGTTGTTTTGCCTGCAAAATAAAAGCGCAAGAAGCTTGTTTGCTGTAGTGCTTTACTTGGAGTTGAATTGAGAGCTTTTACTTTGAAAAATGATGAACGATATCAAAAAGAGTTGGTTGCCTGCTTGGCACACCTTTGAAATAGCTGTCAGAAAATGTGAGTTCCCTAAATGTCCTCTGCGTGGAGATACTGGGGAAACGAAAAAGCGTTGATGGAAGCGGATCAAACGCTGAAACACAAACACTGCAGCACATGCCATAATGTGAGCCTGAAAAACACTGCAGAATCCATTTGTTGAAGAGAAAAAAAAAAAATTGTCCCGAGGTTGGATGAAACACTCAACCGTCAAGGTGAGAGTCCAGTGCTTTACCAACAGAGCTAACCAAACACCCTGTCACTGGCTTCAAATATTGTGTCTTATATTCTCACCTACCATCTAATGCAGGGGTGTCAAACTCATTTTCACCAAGGGCCACATAAGCATTACGGTTACCCTCAAAGGGCCAGTTGCAACTGTAAGACTGTATAAACGTAACTACTCCTTAACATATTGTTAAATAACTGTCTCTTTATTTGATTATGTATTCAAGTTAAGGACATTTATCAGATGTAAAAATATAGCCTTAGTAAGAAAATGTCTCTGTAACTAAATGAATATATCAGATTTAAAAACCCTCTTCCATCAATCAAAGATCAAACATTTCAAGTAAATAATGTTGCATGTCTACATTGATGTAATAAATTTATGAGAATTAATACCAAATTATGAATTTTAATATTCAGAAATTATTCATTCATAAAAGCTCTCGTTTCGCAGGGCACCACCAGAGTTGTTATTAACCCAGAGTCTCCGGACCTCTGGGTAGCTTTTAATAATTATACAATTATTTACTAGTGATCAGTTAGTTAATAATTGCTCAATTATCTTAGATAAATCAGTCAGTCAATCTCATATGGAAGGGGTAAATTCTCTTGTCAGGGACTTAGAGATAGGCAATACACACAATTCCTTTATTACAGTGGAGTTTATTAACTAACTAAAGTGATATAAATGTGGTTAAATACACCAAAGAAATAAACCATGGCTAAACAATGAAAATTTGTGTTTCGATTGTGGGAGAATTTGACTCGTACGGCAACTAATGAATGCAATTGGATACCTCGGTTAAATTTGTCTAGGAGTTTCAAGGATTACATATGCTGGACTAACCAACTATTGGACATCACTGTCCACAGAATGCCTTGTTTTGTCTTACGGTGGGTCGGCGGCCTGCTTGGCTGGTTGCAAGGGTCCCACGCTAGCTGCCCGATTCCTGGCTTTTTGCTAGGGAATTCTCCGGGGTTCTCCGTGTCTGGAATGAAGAAAAACCCTCAAGAGTTGGCTGTCCTCCGTCTGGCAATTAGGCTGTTTTTCAGGTGTCCATTGTTGCCGCTTGCGAGACCACATGACTTGGTCTGACCGCGGTGAAGTGACGAATAAAGCTCAAAAAGGGAACTAGACTAGTGTAACTTAATGGTCTACTAACTTTTAACAAACAAAATAAAATAAAATAAAAAGCAAGTAAATTGCTGGAAACGAGGGAAAGCTGATGTCGCGGCGCTTCGCGTGTGTAGCTTGAAGCGAACAAAGGCCATTTGTTGCGCCGGGCCGAACTCTTAGGGCGTTGCCGGGAGAGGGGCACACCGGGCATGTGCCGAAGCGCCGTTGAAGAATCAGGAACAAACAAGAGGGAAGCGTCAAGAGTGCAAGAGAGAGAACGACAGTGTGTGTCGCTGCTTTGTCTGTTGGGACGTGGTTCCAAGAGGGCAGTCCTTCGTTTCCCGGCGGGCGGGCTGTTTCCAGTTTCCCGAGGGACTGTCTTTCTAAACTTTTAAAATGTCTATATAAAAGGAAAAGAAAATCTATTTGCGCGTATTATAATCAAATATCTTCCCACAATCAAACCTCAATTGTCAAACAGTTGTACCGTTCTAAGTTTAAGAATTTGATAACAGGAAGAACAATTGTCAGTAGTTAGACCATACACTCTTATGACGAGTTTTGATAGGCTGTTCAGGAAAACGCTAATCGCTGGTCAATGTTCCATTGTCAGTTTAACAGTCAAGCACCGCGTTATCTGGCTGCGGCATCAAAAGGTAGCCAGTTTTACGATCAGGCTGCTCAGAGACAGCACTTAGGGAGAGAAAATTTCAACCCCCCTCCTTTGGGGTCTCTTCAGCCGTCTGTTGAAAGTTGATATCTCAACCCCCTCTCTTTCTCCCAGGGAGAGAAGAGGAATTTGGAGTAGTGCAAATTTATTTAATAAAAAATGCACAAATCCACACTGTTGGTACACAACAATAACAAAGACAAATATCATCAAACATAATCTTTTCCAGTAACCTTTCACTTTTTCAAAGTCCAGAGGTCCAGAACCATGGTAAAGCAAATAATTGTGAGCTGTTAATAACATGAGGGACAGATGTGGCATTTGATAAATAGTCCAGCTGCACATAGCCTTGCAGAGATTCATCCAACTAATGACACATAGTATGATTATCTGGAAAAATGCAGACCTATAGTACTGTAGCCTAAGCCTAGTTCACACGACACAATTTTTTGCCCGATTTGCCGCTCGGAGAGCTTGGCGACTGTCAGGCTGTGATCGGGAGTAAATCAGCAGTTGATCGGTGGTCGCCAGTCGTTATGTGTGAACTATACAAGACGCATCAAAACGGCTCCTTGACACACTTCTGCCACATATCTAGCATGCCTAATATCTGGAGGAGTCGGCCAACTCGACATCCACATCATGTAGTGTCACCGATGTAAATGCTCCGTACTTGTATAGCACCTTTCTAGTCTTTTCGACCACTCAAAGCGCTTTTACACTACATCTGCATTCACCAGTCATACACATTCATACACTGAACCTAAGTGCTCAAACGGAAACTAACATTCACACTCATTCATACACTGGCGGAACAGCCAGGGGCAAATCAGGGTTCAGTATCTTGCCCAAGGACACTTCGACACGAGCCAGGGATTGAACGGCCAACCCACTCTACCTCCTGAGCCACAGCCGCTTTTCAGTCATGTAGTGTGAACGACACAATGACTTCAAGTTGTGTAGTGTGAACGGCATCGGCCGACGCTGAAAGTGGTGTTATCTGCATGAGCAACTAACGTTGATCCTTCATCACTGATACTGCCTCATAAGACAAAAGACATAGGCCTAGCCTACCAGGTTTTCTCCTTGAAGCACAAACATATTTTAACTTTCCCACCATTCATGACACGCCTTCCTTCTGCATCAGTTTTTCTGGTCTTGGACATTTAGGGATTGTTTGTATACCGTAGTGGGTGTGGAAACATCACAATCTAGTGGCGGGATGCCGTCACTTCTCGGGTCACAAAATTGACATGCATTGTGGGAGATGTAGTTTTTGGCAGCATAAACTTGAGTTTGACACATACTGTATGATCTAATGGTTTAAAAAAGTGCTTCCATGCAAAACTTATTTGCAGACCCCTGCAGTATATTATTACTTCTTCTTTTTCTTTGAAAGTACGTATTCAACATAGTGCTGAGTGTCTACACCGCCTGAATTCTCCCAGAAGAAGAACAAGCAGAACGTAGTGACAAAACGCTGTAGCGCTGTTTGTCTATTTTCAACTACTGTAGAAACATGACACCGCAACATGGCGACTTCCATGGAAGGGGGGACCTGCGGTTATTGTATTATTAACAGTTCATTATGTAAGGTCTTTTTAAGGACCTTTAATGGAAAGATGGAAAAGAAAAAAACTGTTTTGGAAACTTAACTGTTTGCAGTGAAATATGAAAATCCGTCAGCTCTATCTTTGTTACGGTTTGCTGCCTATTGACAATTCATTTTTGCACTAAGAAAGTCCATATCAACTAGCATCTATCTTTTTTTAAAACATTGTGTTTATTAAAAAAAAACATGAATGCCATCCTACTCTCCATTGTGCACATTTCTTTAAATGTAATTCACATTAAAAGAAAAACTTTGGAAAATGTCCCTTGATACTGCGTAGAGCAGAAACGTTGTAAACCAAACTCCATGTGCTGCCATAGTACTTCCACAACAGCTCTACGGGGGTGTCTTTTCATGTCAGATTTTCTGAGCAACATGTTTAGCATGTTAACTTGAAGAATAAAGAATATATATGGTAGCAATGAAAACTCTTTCAGCAGGTAGATGTTGTGGTGTCCGAACAATAATGCTGCAGCAGGTACAGAGAGTCTGTACTCAAGTGGAGTGAGAGGCACAACATGCAAATTGTGTGACCCCACAGTTACACATGACAATCACGTCTGGTGGGACCACTGTCTGTGTGCTGTGTGTCGAAATGGTGTAAATTACTTGTTTTTTAAGAGAATTGTAAGTATTTTTTTTCATCATCAATCAATTTCTCACTACATGTCTAACATTTTACCCTGTACATGTACTGAGCACACTCTGGTTACATTGTCTATACCATTACTTCAACAATAATAGGTCATTCTATGTATTAAAAAGTAACTGGTTGGATTAAAACATAGCAGGGGTGCTATTAAAGAAAAAAACATGTATAAGATAAACACTATTATCTAAAAATGTACAAGCACACTAAAACCATTACAGAATAAAACATTTCATCAATGAAATTATGAAAAAGTTTTACCCGGCCCAGGAAATCATTGTGACACAGGCGTATGGTGACCAGGAGAGGACATAAACCACAATGACGACAAAGGCAATCTTTGCCAACTTCCACTCGCTCCTGATGGACTTCTGCTGGATCAGGGTGGATTTCCGCACCTGAGTCCCAAGACGTTCCACTTCCCTGCAGATGGAGCAGGACAAAGGGAGCAATTGAAGAGAGAGCAAGACATCGAAAGACATGTTAAGTTAATTGTGTGATTCTGGACAGTTTAGTTACTGCTTTCCTTTTCTAAATAAACCAATCTTTGCCCAGTAAAGCCTGGTGATGGTAGTTGGGGGTTTGTAAGGACATATTTGTGTGCGTGTATGTGTGCGTGTGTGTGTGTGTGTGCATGAATTGTACACATATTCCTTTATAAGAACAACCACTTTTGTCTGAAGCAGGTAATCTGGGATGTATAGCACAGTTTGTTCCACCTAAAATACAAATGTACCTAAAGTTGCACAACATACTGCAGTGGAGTGCTGAGAATCACAGCAAAAAAAGAAGAAAGCTAAGTTTTAACAGCAGTATTTTTGAATTCTTGGAGTGTAATCTAAACTCAAATAAATTGAATGTATCTCCACTTACAGTAGCACAAAATACTTCCTGATATAAGAGTTACAGTACCTGCTGGTCTTTCTTATCGCAAGAAACATAAAGAGATAGCAGTAAAAGATGATTCCTAGTGGAATAAAGAAGACGAAGCAGCACAGCATCATCGTGTAGCTCCTATTGGCCAATGTGTATGTGACATAATCCCATGTACAAGATGTCATCAGGCCCTCTGGGATATAGGAGCCTAAATGGGCAAAAGAATAGAAAAACAGGAAGTAAGATATCAGGTAACACATCAATGGTTCTGCATGTTGCTTGACAAAAGATAACAGGTGAACTGTGTAACTTCAGGTGGATGAATGGAAATTACATTAAAGCAGCAGTAGGAATTCTTTGAAAAAATATTTTCCTCTGGCTCCTCCTACTGCTCCTATGTCATTTGCAAGAATCCATCGCGCCCGGGCCAAACAGCCAATCAGAGCCAGGAGGAGTCTCTAATGCAGAGTCAATCACTGTTCATGCACACACTGCACATCCCCCTTCCTTGCGCATGTTCTCACTCAGTCAAGCTCAATGTCTTCAGCATTGAAGGGCATTAGAAGTTTTGCAAACACAATGGCTGAAAGTGATAGCAGCAGAGAGAGGTGTGAAAGGTTTTGCATTTTATGTTCAATTGTTACTGACTGCTGCTGTAATCACTACAATCAAACAGTTTTTCTGCAGCCGGGAACCAAGGACAAATCATTTGCCTGTTTCTGTTTGACTCACGTCACGTTGCATGTACCGTATTAATGTGCTTCTGTCCTGTGTCAAGTGGACAATCATAAGAAAAAAACATCCACGTAGAGGAAACTCACTCCAGCCAACTAGAGGAGCCAGACTCCAGGCCAAAGAGTAAAGCCAGACCATGAGGATGGCCACGGTGGTTCTTCTTTTGGAGCTCAAGTGAATGGCCTGCAGAGGCTTGGTGATCACGATGTAGCGGTCGATAGAGATGGCCAGTAGGTTTATCATGGAGGTGATGCCAAACAAGGCGCCACAGAACGCATACATCTTGCAGCCTACAGGGAAGGAACACATACAAACATGTCAATGACTCAACAACATAATACTATTTTATCTAAAGTGTTTTTATAAAAGCTTTTTTTTTATAGATATAGGATGTATCAATGTATTGTATCAACAAAGAAGAGAATTACCCATCTCTCCAAACACCCATTCCTTGTAGAGACAGTTGATGAAGAAGATGGGGGACTGTGTGAAAGCCATGAGGAAGTCACTGACCGCCTGGTTCATGATGAAGTAGTTAGGCAGGTTACGAAGCTTCTTGTTGCTAGAGGCGTGCACACACAGGGAGAGGAGGGGAAGTTTTACCGTCAGTGTGAACAATATACACATTTCTTTGCCCTTCTCTTGCTTTAATGGGTCAACATCCAAGCTTTTGTGTAGTTTGCATTTTTATAGAAAGTTAAGTTGTAATATAAATAAATTTTTGTTTTAACAAATGAGAGGTGTATGAGGAATCTTTTGAATAACATAGTGTATGCTGGTGTAATGATCATTCATCCGAGCCATCTGTATGACTATAGGTGTACAGTCAATAAATAATTACATAGTGAGGAAAATATATACATGTTAATGTTAAGCATGTTCTTTTATTCTTATAGAGATTTTGATTATGGTGTTAAAGAGGAATTTCTCAGCCATCAGTAAGCTTCTCCCTTGGTGGTGTTTTGTGCCAAATGTCTGTGATTCATGCTTTTTGTGTGTGTTTTTTTTTCAAATTCAGGACTCATGATAGATCATTGTCATGTGTGACATGCAAGCTGCACTGATACTGTATGTTCAGCACAATTAACTAGCGTTTTATAAAATCAAATATGATCATGATCTCATATAAGGACATGTGAGTTTAGTTACACTTGTATCTCTGTCACTTGCCTCTTTGAATGCATTACTCAATATACACGGCACCTTTAATTGTCAACATTAATCTGATATCAGTTGTTTGCTGAATTGGTCAACTCTGTGTGAACCTGCATTCAAAGCAGATTGATTAAGCAGCTTATTGACCTGCTGTCTGCCCCACAGCTCTTTATTGATTGATTCTGTTTGAGTGTCTCTTGAATTAAAAGTGGCTTCTCCTTGGTTGAACAACAAACAATCAGGTTTCTTATGCTTGTGGACATCACCTTTGTATGTGTTTTTCTGTTGTTCTGTTTTCTGTACTGCTGCTGGGATATCTACTTAATGTGTGTGTGCGACCATGCGCCTGTGCATGCGTGTGCATATTAATACAACATTCATTTAATTCCTAGAAAATCATCATATCTGGTGACATTTCACTTGAAAGAGAATTAGCTCTCGACCTCTCAACTTCTCGCTCTTGGTCTATGTGTATGTGTATGTTTTTGAGCGTGAATGAATGTTCTTGGAACCCATAACATCATGTGCATTTCTGATTCAGTAAACACCAACTATGGAGAACCCATCTAATCTTCCTACAGTGATGGAAAGCTGGAACATAAAAGCTCATGACAATCCCCAGAGCACACACACAGACACATGCACTTTCTGTCTCTGACCCAGTTTCTGGGAAACAATTAATGTCACTAGCACAATAAGAGGTCAGTGGTAGTCCACATTACACAACCGTGCATACCTCCTTAACTTCTCAAAGAAAGTTACAGTTTAAGAGTCACTCATCTTGCAGAACAAAGTGCAATATTAAAAAAGACTTTTTTTTGGGGGGACGTCACCTGTTGCCTCCCACTCTAAATGCACTGTGTGAATTCAGCGATTAATCTGCATGGTACATTTGATTTACAGTGAAGTGTACAATATTTTTATGCAGCATCAATCTGAGTCACAACTGTTTGTTCTGGTTGTTTATTCTTCTTGACACTTAATGTTTGATCATATAGATAGTCGCTGCACTCCTTACAAGACACAAGTAAGTGTTACCATACTGTCCTGAAGAGCCCAAACCACAGAGTACTAAATTGGTTAAAAAAAATTCACAATATTTAAAAAATAAACAAAAAGTTATAACAATGTAAAGGCACTTTTTACACCGCATGCAAATACTGTAATTTGAGGAACAAGTAACAGTACTCATGTTAAGGCCTCTGCTGTGATCACGTATCACTCATGACAATGCACCTGCCATGCAGACTCAAATTTGCACCAAAAGGCTGGGAAATTTCTTACTATGTAGTACTTTCTTTCAAGGATACAGGTCAGTTTTGCTCCAGTGATGAACACCACATTCGACTTCAGTGCCATACAGCTATGATGATCTTTCAGCCAGGAATAAAAATTATGCAAAGCTTATTTAACAGGTGGCTTTTTGGAAACTCCTATTATCCTCTGTAGAGTAAAAGACAGGACAAATACTGATCCTCACTCTGCAGTGAGTTAAAGACAGAAAAACCTCTGAACTTTGATTGAGAGGTTCTTGCCTAAATAAATTAGAAATCTAAATGCAGTTCAAAGAATCAAAACCAACAAAAAGAACACAGACCTGAAAACACATAGTATTTTAGTGGAGTTTTCATTATCCTCCCAACATACACACACACTCTGTGAGATCCTAACATCTCATCTCATAACATCTCCTTAGGGCTCTAATTAAAAGAGAGACCCACATTAAAAATGGTAAAGCCTAACACAGTTGGATGAAACTTGGCTTTGGTAGGTTCAGACTAAATTGACTGAAAAGAACAGACACATACAATGACGAAATGATAGTGAAGTAAAAACGTGAAGAAAACAATCAAACCACTCACACAAACCCACCTATAGAAGGCGAACATAACCAGCGCGTTGCCAGTGATGCCCAGTGTCCCGATGACAAAAACAAACAGGGCGACAATGTAATGAGCATAGCTGGGCACATCCACTTTGCTGAAGAAGCTGCTCTGGGTGTGTGCTTTCTCTGGCTCCATGCTCTCAGTGGACCACATGGTTCAAACACCTCATCAGGATTGCCAACCAGGCAGGGTGCAGTAGGTATATCAGTTTGTAATCCACTTTGTTTTGCTTGTGTTGTCGGGCATCCATTGTAGTGTCATTTGCAAAAGGGATGCAAGGGAGACATATAGAGTATATTTTTTAGGTTTAGACTGAGCCACATTCACTTTACTGACGTCCTCAAGGTCCTTCCCATCATAAACCATCTATTCAGTACGTGCTGAATATGAAGGACCAGGTGATGTGAAGATGTGAAATGTCAAATCCAATCAAGTCCACATGGGTACTTCTGTAGAAAAAGCTGGATGAATGAAAAAGGTGATCCGTACAAAATGGTAATTTCAGTATCAGTGTCAAAAAGGTGTTAATGCTATTCAGAAAACATCCAGTCCAGTAGTCTTACATGCCAGATAACGTCCACAGCCATTCACACGTTAGTCTCCAAACCCATCTCCAAATGTACTTTAGAAGCAATGTCCATTCTGTTGGTCCCCTCTGATCTGCAGTTCAAAATCTTCCACCTGTAGTCTCCAAACGTTTCCTGTTTGATACTTGGGTTATTGAGTTGATAATATTCTCCAGTATATTAAATCCCACACTCGTTGCACATTGTCACTGTCCGTCCACTCAGTGCCTGCAGCCTCTTCACCCGCCACGCCAGCTGTGAATCCAAGCTCCGAATCAGTGGCCTGATTATGTTTCCAACCCCTAACCTCTCTCTCTCTCTCTCTCTCTCTCTCTCTATGTGTGTCTCTCCCTCACTACACCATGTTGCTCTATGTTGCTCTCTCAACCCTGCCTCGCTGTCATACTCTCTTTCTCTCCTCATACACACTGCCGTCCTCGCCTCTCTCTCCCTCCCCTACCCTACATTTAATATGGCCCAGCCCTGAGCTCTAACCCTTTAACTACTAGATTCTTACATAACAGACATGATGTTCACTAACACAACCATTAAGTGTTTGCTCAGACGTGCATCAGAATATTTTAAAACCACTTCATGCACACAATGATGCATGCACGTCACCTTTCACATCAATTGATTCCTGCTCGTCTGCAAGTCATTACAGCAGTTGTTAACAAGCTGACGAGTCTGCGAAACCTCTCGACTACAGCTGATTCAACACTGCTCTTACTTGCAAGGCACACATCATGATCCAGAACAAACATACTTCAAATTCCAACATTTCAAACCTTCCCTTTAAATGTCAGCTTCAAGAAAATCTTCCCTTTGTTACAATTTAACTCCACAGCCAAAAGACTGTAGCGCAGTTATTAGAAATGAGTGCTCAAGACATTTGTAGGTTTTCTAAATCTGTCAATAGGATGATTGTATAATTATGAAAGACAAAAATATAATCTATTTTGTTCACTCTATAGGTTTTTGTAGTAATTCTGTAATAGCATGGCCATGCAGTGTCACGATTTAAAATACATGCACCATATAGCCTATGAAACCTTTTACATAGCAACAACTGAGACATGGGTCAGAGGCATGCCACATCTTCTGGTCATTGCTTTTTATGGTGCTGGACATGTTGATAAAAAGAAATGAAGGGAATAGAGGGAGGTGAAGAATTCAGAGCTTAGACAGAGATGTCAACTAAGCCCCTGCAGCAAGGGGTATCTTTAATCTGCACACTGTGCTTGTATGTAAATCTATGTCTGCATGTGAATCTATGTCTGCCTGGAATAAGAATGTGCAGTATAAAATCATCTATGCCTACGTGTGTGTGTCTATGTGTGTGCATGTGCCTGCATGCATGTATCTCCATATAGGCATGTTTGTGTACTTTTATTATGTCACTATATCACAGCACACATGGACAGATGTTTTGAAGGATTACGGTTGTAGAATTCTACAGGCCTTGATGGCTTATCACAGTTGTGGTGTTTATGTTTACATGTCAGCACAGCAGGGGAACAGTGTATATATGCTCATTATGTAAACTACTGTATAGTGTGAACGGGAAAGATGAGAGCAGCAAGTCGTCCTCCTCATCCCGCTCTTCTGCACGCACGTGATGAGAGCTATCTCAGATGTAAGCAGTGGTAGAAAAAAACGCTTAAAGAAATTCATTCATAATCAAATTAAATTCAAATTCTGGTATTGTAGCACACTATGTAATACAGTTGAATTAATCAAAAGCAGACATACACTCTCACACAAGTCAAATTTTACTCACTAATCACGCGTGAGAATTTGGGTTGCTTTACATAAAGTAAATTAAAACATACTACATATTACATATTACAACATACTGTCTGGAAATGTGCATTTCAAATAGAACATATTAAAAAATGACCAATCATCAAATAATATTAAATATTTAAGTAAAAATGTTATAAGGCCTCATTTTGAATTCATCTATATTTCAAAAGTGTCTCAGGTATTCTAGCAAACCATCTAGAATAAAGAGCTTTATTTTGTTTTGTGGAAACCTAAGGAGGCCTGTTTCAGAAGACCTAATAGACCTGATGATTGACAACTCACAAACACCTTTCAGCACAATTACTTTTCTGCTTGACAGTCTAATTTACTTGCAATACTTCTTTATTAAATTGCTATGATGTTCAGATTGGAAAGCATCCTAGGGGGAAAAAACATCTATTTTAACCCCAAAACTGAGTTAAATTGCCTGCCTATAAATTTAAAGATTGTTTTGAAGTTTCAGGAAAAATAATGCTGGTGAAAGTTGTCAAAGGTGTTTTTTCAATTCAGAAATTCCACCCCATGTCTGATCTTCAGAGTGCCAACTATCTGCAGCTTCCCCTCTGTTTCACTCCACACCGTCTGGATGAATGACCTTTTCGTGATGGAAAAACACATCAGTGAATTCATAGAGTATGACCTGGACAAAGAAGGTCACTGTTCCACATGCCACTGAGTCAATTACTATTGAACCAGCTGGCCATGCTGGTGCTTAAGTCCTGGGCTTGAATTCCCAGTTTAAAGATTCAGCTGGCTTTTGTCCCACAGTGGAAAGATACTAATTCTTATTGATTGGTGCTGGCTATGTGACCAGGGCTGCGTCCTCAGGCAAATGAGTCTTTGGAAATCAATACTTCACTACACAGGGGTTATCAATCAGCATAAAATATAAGCCACAGGAGGATGATTGTCAGGTGTCTGTTTCCCTGAAGTGGCTTCTTTAGCAGCAATTACCAACTCACTTTTTTGATCCTGCTTAATGAAGACATGGGTACTTATGAAGACCTTAATCATCTGAGAGCTTTGAAATAGAAAACCCTGTGATGCATATGCCAAATTATTTTAACTCCAGTAATTAAGGGGATAAAAAATTGTCCTATTTCACAGTTCACAGTTTTGATTAAATCTTTTCTTTCTGCATCTGCGTTAAAAACTGATCACACACTCCTTGGCCCAAGCCTTAACTTCCCACCAAATCTGACACAACAAATACATTATTAAAAAAAACTTCTGGAAGAGGTACCAGTAACATGCTGCAACTTGCTGTATTTACTGTAAATGCTCTGACGATAACATGTAACTGTAAGATCGTGCAGACTTTGGTGTAAACACAATAACTCCATGGAGGAGAGGAGATAAATTGGTTTGACTTTTGAGGATTGTGTCGCATAAATCTGCATTTTGATGACAAACCAGATTTTCTCAAGTTGTGCAAACGCATTTATTTTTTAATACCAGTCGTCTGTATTTTCTTTTGACTTATGCATTTGTTTCATCAACAGCCTTATTAGCACAAGTGGTTATTCTGATGAACATTTGAAAGCATCGCAAACTGAAATTTTGCATTTCAACTTCATCATTTATGTATTCCTGTCAGGCTACGCCTTGTTTACTGTCTCTGTAATTAAGATTGTGTGATAATTTTTTTGATAGAGGTATCAGTCTTAGATACCATTAACTTGAACAATTCTCTATTTTCACAAAAACTTACTATTCTACATGTGTGTTTTTTGTGCTGTATATGGATTGTGGGAGATTTTACTTTTTTAACAGCGCGCAGTTTGTCACCCTAAACTGGCTGTAAATTTAAACACTTGATTCATTTTAACAGCTAACTTGGCTTTAGTAAAAGTAGACAGACAGGCATCTGCATGCTCCTCTGGTGCAGCAGAATGGGGATCATGGAAATGGGAGTCAAGCAGAAAATAATGGTATAGAGTTTTAAATCTGACATAATGCATGTCGTAAGCCTCTTTAGTGTCTGCCAGTGTTTCTGTTAACCAACATACTGGAAATCTAGGTTATAGATCTAACTGTGTGAAAAAAGCAGTCCATAAAATGCTCTTCAATAAGTGGAATGAATTTGAGTCAATAGCAAACCACCACAGTGGTGGGACTGCCTGTCTCTCTCGATCTCTCCCTCTCTTTCCTTCTCTCTCTGAAATTAATGGAGTACAATTAATTTGATGTGTTTATTGGGATTATGCATGCACACAATAGAATACAGACATATGGAATATGTGAGGAGAATCAAAGTCAGAGATAGATCAAGCTTGTATAAACAATCCATTAGCTAAAAACAACATAAAGAGCAAACGAGTCACATTTTATCTTGCAGGGATTCTGTGTGAATTATGTACAATAAGTGTATCCTGTCTGTGGGTATAAAATATACAATATCATTGTAGTAAAGTATTAAATGTCATAAAAGCCTGAGGGACTAACCTTGTCTATTTATATTCATACATTAGTCTTAGAAACTTTTAATGTACTTTGTTGATAGTGTTGAAATAATTTAAATGGCTTGTCAGGTTGGTAAAGGTGCCCCAGTTCCTCTCAATGCAGACATCTATGTGTTTTTTATATATTAAATAAGGCAGAACACACACTATAAAAGCTATGGACAAGACTGCATGACACATTATCAACTCAGGCACATTTATAATTTAGTTCTATGGTGGGTGAATGAATTTAAGTCCTTTGTTAAGTGGGACAGGAGAGCAAAATATGAAAACATATCATCTAAATTCATGGAGATATGGCATGATGTCACAGGCCCGT